CCCCCCCCCCCCCCCCCCCAATCCTTCCAAGCCGGACGGCCCCAGAAAGCCCAGGAGAAGAAGGCCCAGATTGACGCGACAGACTGCTGGGGGCGTACGGCGCTGATGTGGGCAGCGTGACAGAAGCAGCCATGCCCCACCATCCCCTGAATTTAACACTTGCAAACGCCACCCGCATGCTTCAGTGGGAACTGCAAGCAGGTCGAATGCCCTCTTAGTCCTTGCACGTGAATCGCGATGCCCAGAAACCCTAAACCAGAAAGCTCCGAAACACTAAGCCCAAAGCTTTCTGAACCCAAACCCCAAACCCTCAAAGCACCTAAAACGCCTAGCCTTAACGCCGGGACGTCTAGGCAGCCGGATCTGGACATTTTAATGCCGTCGAGCTGCTGACGCACCACGGTGCAGATTTCGACCCCTGGGTGCTGGATGACTCTCGGGGAGGTCGGAAGGGCTTTACGATTTTGGGCTTAGGGTTTCTGGTCATGAAAGGGTTTTGTTTTACGATTTTGGGGTTAGGGTTTATAGAGTAGTGAAAGGGTTTTGTTTTTGCGATTTAGGGTTTAGGGTTTACAGGGTAATGAAAGTTTTTTGCTTTTGACGGCTTTAGGGTTAAGGTTTAGGGTTTGGGGTGTGGGGTTTTGGAAGGGTTCCTTTGAGTGTTCTTTAATACTTCTCTAATGGGTCTTACAGGGTTTATAGGGCTTCGCAGAGGAACCAGTTACATTGACTAGCATAGGATATGTTTGGGAGGCATACTACAGCATACGGTTGTATGGGCGTGAAGTTGAGATTAATATTTTGTCATCATCAACAACAAGGAATATTGATACTGAGGTTTCGGAGAGGCATGAGTGTAGGATTTATTTCTTTGGGGGGTCTCAGGGGCTTGGTGTTTGTTTTGATCTTAAGGTTGTTTTTCCGAGGGGTTCTGGGGGTTAGCATTCAGGAGTTACAGCCTGCAGGGTCTAAAGTCAGACTTCAGCTTGTCAGTCGGGTTCCCAAGGGGCGTAAGAGTTTGACCTTGAACCCTGAACTCTAAACCCTAAAACCGTAAAACCTAAACCCTAAAACCGTGAAGCCTAAACCGTGATTGTCGGCCTACAGTCTAGTTGCTTGATCTAGTTGGACGCAAGAGACCTCGTCTGGCGGAGTCCGAGTTGCGAGACCCTAAACCCTAAACCCTAAACCCTAAACCCTAAACCCTATCCCGTAGTAGCTGGGAGCCTGGAGCCTCCACGCTACCGACTGCGAATCGAGAGCTGCCAGAGTGCAAAGTATTCAAACAGGCTTTACAGTAGGGTTCAGGGTTTACCTTAACCCACCAGAACCTACTTTTTTGTAGGGTCCTTATGACATTCAGAACCTACAAAAAAAGATGGTTTTGGTAGGTTAGGGTAGGGTTTGGTTCCGGGCGAGAGAAGAAGCCTGCTGCAAAAGGGTATAGGGTCTTTAGTCACAACTGTCAAGCCCTGTGCCCTAGCTAACCTATGCCTGAAGCGCACCACATCTGACCACGCTCTTCTGCAGCCGAGTCTTGTCCCGACCGCTGAATCGGACCCTGCGCCTATCATCGAGCCTCTGTGCGTTGAGGCGTTCCTTTTTGGACAACAATCACAGACTCTCCGATACGACGGTGGTGGATGCTTGGCTCTTGTTGAGAAGCTCCATCTAAGTTTCCACACGGGGTCATATAATTTAAGGGCCTTAATACTTACAAATATTATTTTGGTATTCTTTATTCGAATTATAGTATAATGGGCCCCAAAACCCATTCTAACTATTCAGGCCCCTACATGATGCTTCGTAGATGGTTTGCTTCCCCTACTTTGGTAGCTTATAGCCCTCTAGACTCTAGTCCGTAGCCAACTCTAAACCCTTGAGATCCGCACGATTTAGGGTTTAAGGTTTAGGGTTTAGGGTTTAGGGTAGGTGCTGCTTCCCAGCTGATTGGCAGAGTCTGGGTTCAAAAAGGGTTTAGGGTAGACTTTCGCTGGCACACAATCCAAGCCCATGCTGAAAAAGGGTAGACTTTCCCAGCTGGTGATCAGAGCCTGGGTTCAAAAAAGGGTACCCTAAACCCTAAACCCTAAACCGATGGAGCAACACCCAGGATGTCGCAGATGACGGTCTCTTCACTGGCGGAAAGCACCCTTGGCAACTTCAAGACCTACCTGGCAGCCTCTTTGCCTCATCTAGGAATCTAGGGCCCCTCCTTTGAACAGGGGTTCTCGCCTGTGTGGCGCGAAGAGTTTGAGGGGCCTTGTAGCTTGCGGGGTTGGGTGCAAGGTTTTGCATGTGAAAATTTGAAGTTTGGAAAAGGTTGAGCGTTTTGCTGGTCAGGGTTAGTTCGGGTGTCGGAGTTTACGGGTTGGTTGTTGGTGTTGAGGGGTGATTTTGACCTTGGGGCTATGGGGTTGCCGGAATTCGGTGGAGGGTTCTGATGGCCTTGATCCGTTTTCCATTCTGCTTGAACTGCCGGAAATCATGTACAAAAGCGGCATACTGTATACTTACGCTAGCACAAGCCTCAGCAACAGCAATCCTCACGCGAACCGGACACCGTGACTTCCGTTCTTCTCATCAGTTGGGTAAACCTCACACAAAACATGGGGCCGTCTTCGTCATTTCTAACGTAACTTGGGCCATATAGTAGTTCCTGTTTGGGATTCCCATGCTAAATATGAACCCCAAAAAGGAACTACTATGGGGCCTATGTAGGTAGACAGCCCTAAACCCGAAACCTAAGCTCGGAACCTCATTGCCATGCCTGCCTTGTGCGAGTGTGTGAGTCGAAACCCTAAACCCCCCATATGGGGCCGTCTTCGTCATTGAAAACGTAGATAGACACCCCGAAGCCTGGACCTTTACACGACCTTTCACCTCAGATGCCCGGCTGGGAGAGAGCTGAAATCATAAGGTCTCACTGGAGCATAGGTCCTAAAGTGGTTCCTTTTGGGGGTTCATATATAGAATCCTGTAAGGTAGTCCCAAAAAGGAACTACTATGGGGCCTATTGGTATTTCTACTCCTGGTATTCTTTGCTCCGGGCACCTTACGTCCAGACCTCCGCAAATCCTTAAACCGTAGACGCTTATGTACGTGAGGTCTTTACTGGTGCCCTTCTATCTGTACTCCTGGTACTGGGCACCCGGTACCTCAAAGGCTTGCCCGTGAACGCCTCGATTGCCAAGATCGAGAACTTCGGGCTTAGAGTCTTTAGAGAGTGTGACTTTCCTGAGTCTTTAGGCTTTAGGGTGATAGCTATACGGGGTGTAGGGTTAGTAGAGGGGCTGACGTTTTCCACTTTCTAGTTCTGGAGTTCGACGTTCATTAATGATGAGATTGCGTCTGAGACGTTAGATTTGCGAAAGCCTCTATGGGTAAGCCCAAGATTAGCTGGCTGCCCTGTGCCCACACTTATCCTGCATCAGCTTTACCAAAGTTACTCCTCCACGCCTTTTTCGGAAGCCTGAATTGTTCAAATGTCCAGCCCTGCCCCGCCCCTTGAATCCCGTTCTGTGGAAGGAAGCACATAATATATGGCCAAAATAGATACCAATACTATTTTGGGGGTTCCTTATTCTAATTGAAGTATAATGGGCTATCCTGATAAGGCCCCTATATTATGGTTTTAGGGGATGTTTGGGGGTTCTTGGAAGGGCTATGCAGTACGACGGCTACCTACTGCCAATGTAAGAAGAAGATGGTGATATCCAGGCGCACAGCACACCCAAAGCTCACTGAGAGGCTCATGGACTTAAGATTTAAGATTGGAAGTAGAGTCAGAGAGCTCATAGTACCCGAAACCCTAAACCCTAAACCTAAACCCTGACCCCTAAACCCTAAACCCTAAACCCTAAACCCTACCCAAATGCACCTAAATGGTCCTCCGAGCGCCCAGGAACTACCTTCCAGTGGAGCTCAACCGGAAGCGGGGGTTCTCACGGGGGGCCCAGCTTCTGATCGGCAAAGCGCGTCTGCCCTGGGTGCTGGGAGCAGCTTTGTACACCTTCCGCAGTGTCGAGGTGGGCTTGCATCTTCGACGGTCAGGCAGATAGTATGTGATCAGGGCTCATGAAGTCTAAGCCCTAACAGTAAGGGCTTAGACTTCATGAGCTCTGATCAAATACCATCTGTAGGGTTGTAGATTTATAGAGTTTACCTCCTTTCTGAGCTTGCTCGGATTTTGCCAGGTGGTTACGAATCTGGTTGCCATCCTTGGTTCTGGAATGATGATCGTCTGGTGGCCCTGCTGGCTGCCCTGACCGCATGGTGTTCACCATGGTTTTTGGCTCACTGGTGTTGGGACATGGCAATCGAAACTCTTCGTCGGTCGCAGGCAGGTTCGTCCCTGTTGGATCGTCGTGGCAGTCTTCTTTGTTATGAGGATGAATTACTGGTGGTCCCCGCCGGCCAGGTGCTTCTGTAACCAGCATCGTATCCATGACGGCCCAACCACCCAGTCTGCATAGAAGTATTGGTACTGTTGATGGAGAATTCTGCAAGACCCAAATATAGTATAGTACCATAAACCCCATAGTTCAGGTATAGAAGGTCATGCAGGATTTTGTCCATCAACCGTATTGCCGCTAGCAGATACGAAGCCATGGATGTCCTCAATCCGTCACGAATGAAAAAGTTGGCCCCGTGCTATAGAAGCCTGGTTCACTACAAGCGCAATTGTTTGGGGTACCCGATATACTGACAGCAGAAAATACCCCAGAACCCTACTGAGTGATTCAGGCCCCTGTATCAGCCAACTAGACTCTTGCACCTGGGATGCCAATTGCTCTAAATCCCTTGTAGATCGAAGCTGCATCCTCAAAATCATCTAAGCCATAAAGAGCCTACAACAAAAAACATTCACTAAGCCTCTTTAAAATCCAGCCGTTGCTATTGTACCAAGCCCGCACAAACCCCAGACGGGTTCAGAACAAACATTCTGACAAGACCAAGGCTGCCTTTTGTGCTTGGCGGCTTCCTGGCCCCAACTTTGCACAAGAACTACGCAGTGAATCTGACAAAGCCACCCGAAGAAGTCTGGCAAGAAGCGTTCTCGGCTTTTTGTTTGTGTCTCATGCAGGATATTGGTTCAGAAAGTTGAACAGCTCTGGCCAAACAGCTCCGACGTGTCTTTGTGTCAGAGGATGCCTGCTCTCTAGGACGTTAAGGGCTTCTAAGAACTTACAAACCCAAAACCCTAAACCCTAAACCCTAAACCGAATCTAAAGTCCATGGTCTGTCTTCTCAGAGGACCGGAGGATTAATTCTTGAAGAAATCGTTGAACCTCCCCTCCCCAATCTTCGCGCGAGTCAGCCGAGGCCAATCTTGATCACCGCCGTAAAAGGTCCGCTGTCGGCTCTCTTGGCGTTGCTCCGCACATTTCTATTTGGTTCCGTGGCCGCGGCGGTGTGGAGAGAGCCTTTTCGAACTTGGTTGCTGTTGGTTTAGGGCGAAGGCTTGTTTCCTAGACCTTCCGCCAACGGCTGCAGAGGATTATCGCAGCCGACATCCAGATTTGGGTTCTTCTCTGCAGATCGCAGCCCCTTCCACGTTCTGGACCGGCTCCTCTGCCGCAGAGTAGCAGGTCTCTTTACATCCCGAGCTGGGGTTCAGGGATTAGGGAGCTGGTTCCCATGTTCGGGTCCCGAGATTAAGAATTCCCAGATTTGTTTTTTTTTCTGGGAACCGTAATTGGGGTTTGAGGGTTTGGGGTTGAAGTGGCTGGCATTTGTTCAGGGCTTCGTGATTTAGGGTTCTGGCTTTTATCCTGGTGCTTAGGCCCTGATCTCACTCGAAGCCAAAAACCTTCTTTTTGAAAAGCCAGCCCTTGGACCTTGTTGCCCTAAACTCTCGAAGACCCCTGAGCCATGATACTCTTATATAGGGGGCCTTGATAATTGCCTACACTATTTTGGGGGTTCCTTATTATCATTATAGTAAAATATAGCCCAAAACCCTCTTCTAATTTATTATAGGCCCCTACACTAGACTCACTAGACCCTGCAAGCCACCAAGCCGGAACCGACCCCAAAACCCTGCGAGCTCCAAGCCCTACACAGTCCAACACCGGAAATAGAACTTGGTTTAGGGTTTAGGGATCAAAACACTACGGACAGGAACTCTAACTAAGATATTAATCACAAGCAACACACGTTTTCCCCTTCCACCGCGAATCCAAACTTCGGAACCCAAAACCCTAGAGTCAAGACTCGACCCCTAACTTTCAAAACCCCCCAAAACAGCTCAAAGCCTAAATACCCTAAACCCTCAACACACGACTGCTGCCCCTGAACCCTCAGTTTCAAAGCCTTAAACAGTTAAAGCAAGCCCTAAACCCTAAACCCTAAACCCTAAACCCTAGACCTCGACTTCAGGTTGGATCAACCCAGAGCAGGCGCAAGCCCAGGTGAAGATGCACTCGGATTGGACGGACGAGCCGACGCAACTGCAGGCCTTCCTTACGGTTTAGGGTTTAGGGTTTAGGGTTTAGGGTTGGTTTAATAGAGTAGGGTGTAAGATGTAGAATATATGGTGAAGAAGTGGGGTGTTGGGGTGCCGATTGTGCGGGTTTAGATCTCAAGGCTTTAAGATCGAGAGGCTTTCTGGGCGCATGAGTGTAGGGTTTTGGGTATAGACTCCAGACTTGTTTCTTCAGGGTTTTCCGGAACAGCCACCCTGATGCCCAATTCCTGCACCCTAAGGGATGGAATACATGAGAAAATCTAGATACAAGCATCTGCAAAATATATTTGTATGTACACACATGCACACACGCATATGTGTGTGTATACATACATATGTACTGTTTACTTACACACATGTATATATATATATATATATGTACGCAGGCTGCCTCCTTGCATGGCAGTTGAACCATCAACTCTGGGACGGTTCAGTTGGGTTTGAAGTAATGAGTTTGCTCAGAGCCCATCTGCAACGAAGGCATATATGCCTTGGAGCTTTTCCCGACCCTCTGTTGAGAGGCTGAACAGAGCTTTCCCCACTTCTAGGGGCTCACCTTCTTCAGCCCGGGCCGCACCCTAAGAAGACTTCAAACCCACTATAACCGTGAGGCCCCGGAGGGTGGGAGTACCCGCCCTAGACTCCGAAAGCCCTGAACCCCACAGTCGAGACCCGAAATAGAACCACCCCTATAAACCCTAAGAGGAGGAACCCATAGTCGTTTACGATCTTAAGCCCTGAATCCTGCCCTAAATCCTAAGCCTTTATATGACATAGGAGATTAAGCATATCTAAGTTAAACCATGGTAGCCCTTAAGCCCGTATAGTAACATTGATAACAATCCTTCTAGCAACCCTCACTACAAGTAAAGCTAAACCCTAAACTACAAACCCTAAGCCCTGAAAACCCTGAAACCGTAAACCTTAGACTCGACCCTAAACCCTAAACTCTAAACCCCTAAACCCTCAACCCTAAACCAACTGTTCAGAGGCGACCTTGAGTCGCATCTTTGAGTTCTTCGTCTCGTCGGTGCTTTTTCTCGTGGCCCTCTACGCCACGTCTCTGGCAAGTTACCTGCCGCTGATCCGCACTGAAGGGCCTCCGCGGGGGTTGTGGGATTGATAGGGTTGCAAGGTACGATTTGGCCTTTCAGGCGTTTGGTAACATGGTTTATTGGGCTTTTGGGCTTTATAGGTTGAGTTTAGGGATGAGGGTTTAGGCGCCTAAGGTTGTCCTAGTGGGCACCACTCCAAGGTGAGCGATCCTTCATCCCACCTACCTCCCTTCCACCTTTTGAGGCTCTTGATGCACCCGTCTATCCTGAACCCCAAGCCCAGGCCTAGCCGAACGAGGCGAAGTAGGGTCCGGGGAAAACCGGTGTCGGGTTTTAGTCGGGAACAGAAGAAGGCAAGTCTGGGCTTGGCGGTTAAGGCTCTTCGTGCCATAGGGTTTACAAAACCCCAAACTTCCAAACCTTAAACCCTAAACTCAAAACCCAACACCCCAAACCCTAAAGCCCTAAACCCTAGACCCTAAACCCTAAAACCCCAAGCCCTTTACGGGTCGTGGCCAGCAGACGAGGCTTTGGTTCGTAGTGCGTCGATTCGTCCGCAAGCAGCCGGGGGCACATCAGGCGGGAACAGGGTTTAAGCTTTTAGGGTTTTTAGGGTTTTAGGGTTTCGGGTTTACGGTTTCTGGCTTCAGGGTCATGAGTACATGTTTTGCGGGGTTGTGCAGTCGTGAGTGCTGCACTGCTTCACGGCGACGGCAGTTCCGGGCGAGAGAAGCCTGCTGCAAAAGGGCTTCAGGGTTTTAGTGTTTCGGGTTTAGGGTCGTAGGGTTTATAGGGTTTAGGAACTTGGGGTTCAGGCTTGTAATCTTCGGGGCTGGGCGTAGTAAGCCTTCACTATTCTTTAGAATGCGGCAGTAACTTTCCATGCAGGTGGGAAGTCGAAACCCTAAACCCTAAACCGCTTAAGGTGATCGAGAGTAGATTAGTTTCACGCCCGCTGCTATCTATGAACCTATCGTCCGAGTTGTGAGAGTCTAAACCCCTTAACTTGACAGCAGGCATTGAAGTGAACCTACTTTGGTGCAATGTTAACGATCCTCTGAAGACAGTATCGTGGTGGACCTTGCCAGGCTTGTTCGAGTGTGAGTGTCAAAAAACCCCTTAATGTCTTAAGATAGTAGGGTTTAGGGTTTAGGGTAGGGGTGCTTGTTATAGAGGGGTTGATGACAGCTTCTTCCTTGAGGCAGGCCAGCTGGTGGAGGCGGACAGCAGCTTCCAGGATCCTGGGGCGTATAGCCCCTTTGGGGCTTCCCTAAACCCTACACCCTGAACCCCAAACCGTATGGGCCTGTGTGGGGCTTCAGAATGGTTTTCTAAAAACTGTGCATTGGATGTTTCGGAGCTGTTTGGGGGCTTGGAGTTTGTTTGGGGTTTGGGGTTTCCTTTCTGTTCCCCACGTAGGCGGTACTTGGATATCCCGGGAAACCTACTCTAATGGTCAACACCTGCTTTTCAATAGAGCTTTACAGCTTCGACACTTGAGGCTGTCTCTAGTGGTTTCTGGCGCCTTATTTCTGGAGACATCAACCTTGTTTGAAGTTTTGGGGTTTGAGGTCATGATATCAGTAGACAAATCGCGCATGTTTGATCCACGTGTGCCAGCAAATTTGCAGATTTGCGTGGTAATGTGGATTCACGATGCCGGCGAAAGTTTTAAAGGCTTTAAGACCAGTTGTGTATTGCGCCTTTGGTGTGTTTCGGGCAGGATTCAGCAGTAACAACAGAAACATTGCACATGAAGCCTTAAGTCCTGAACTTATCAGCCTACCTCAGAAAACCGTAACCCTAGAACTCTGCAGCAGTAAACCCTGAAGCAAAGCCCTGCATGTGTCCCTAATTCGAGGAGGACATGCTTGGGCAGATCTTGGCGGCCTTGCCCGAGGCTAGATTCTTTTCCGGTCCGCTTCGTCGTTACGATTGCAGTCTTTCGGTCCACTGCACGGGAAAGCGGTATGCCTGCCTATGCTGCTGCTGCCATAACCAGCACCTGCACCACAACCACCACGACGACTACTGCTGGTGCTACTCCCACCACTCCTACTACTGCTACTCCTCCTGCCGCTGCTTCTACTGCTACTACTACTGCTGCTGCTGCTGTCTGCTGCTGCTGTCTGCTACTACTACTACTACTAC